GCAGCCGAGAGGAGTCAGATCGGATTTGGGGGTTCCCCGTGGCGAGTTGGAGTCTGGGACTGAGAGCAGGGAGTCGCCCACTACTTCCCTAGTCCTGGTCTCTGCCCATAGAGAGTCTTGGTTGCTGGACCAGGGCTTCCATGAGCTCTGCTCAGGAGCTGAGAACCAAGACCTGAGAGTGAACGCGCCAAGGTAAAGGAATGGGCGAGAATCTTGGTGCTGGGCCAAGATCTAAGTTCTAGCGAGGACCCTTGTCACTGCCATCTCTAGGGGTGGAGGGAGGGGCAAAGTCACTTCCCCAGATGAGGCCTGAGTGTGGATGAAGAAGAGCCCGGCGTGAATGGAGGAAGGCGTGTGGTCACTGTCCTGGGCCCTGGGGCCAGGGTCCCAAAGCAGCTCCGATCCCCGGAGGGGAGAGCAACGCTGGTGGGAGAACACGATGGAGTCACTGGCCCAGGACCAGTCACACACGCCTGGGGTAAGAAGCGGCTAGTGTCAGGAGCCTGCAGGCTGCTCTTCGAAGGAGAGGGACGCAGCAGCAAGGAGGGAGAGTGGGCGTTGTGACCGGGCAGCAAAGGAGGGGGTCTTGAATGGGCTCCTGGTGTGAAGCATCCCAGACAGCAGGCTCCACCTCAGAAGGAGGCAAGGGGAAGGGCACTGGCAGGCGGAATAGGGGATGGTCCTCAGGTCAGGGTGAGGACCAGGGGAGCGGCAGGGAGTCTGGATGGAAGTGAATATGAGGGAAGGAGGAAAGCAGAGTCCCCAACTTTGTGAGGATGTCCCTTCCCATAAGGGGAACAGGGCACTGTGGAACGACCAAAGAGGAGAGGGTGAGAACTAGAGAGCCCCAGGCACAAACAAGGCCGGTGTCTGTAAGGGTTGGCAGTAGGCCCCAGAACTCCTGAGGACTGAAGGCGTAGCCCTGGTGTCCAGGAGGAAGGAGGCAGGCCGCCTGACACACGCACAGCTACCCTGGGTTCCCGGGGAGGGATGGCAGTGTCCGGTGATGGGGACCCGGGCCTCCTTGGTTCTCTGTAGCCAGTCCTAAGAGTTGGGAAGCAGAACCAGAAGAGCTGGGTGGCCAGGGGCCATTATGGACTCAGGGACAATCAATGACCCAGTGTCCCCCCTGATGGTTCTTAGGATAAGGGCCCAGAAGCTTGTGAGGCTTAGGACATGTGTGGGCCCAGTGACCCATCTGACCACATTTAAAACAGGGTCCAGGCAGTCCCAAGGGACCCTTCCAAGGGCCAGTGGAATCAGGGACAGATGCTGAGGCTGGACGGATGGCTTGAGCGAGCATCTGATATTTCTGCTTCCGGTCCTTCTCATCTCTCCTGTTACACACCTTAAAGGCCACACCCAGAACCCCAGCTTGGGGAGTTAGGGGTCCCCTCTCGAGGCACCTTAGTTTGGCCTTAATATTGGGGAAACTCTGGGGAAAAAGCAGATCATTAGTGGTGGTCTCCATCTGGAGTGTCAGGAGGCAGATTAGTGTACTGTCATAAAGCCTTGGTCAGGGGTCTAAAAATGCTAGAGCTTTCATTCTTAACTTGGAGGACTTCCTGTAACTTTTCATAATTGATAGCCTTATGGGCTGCCTTTCAAGTCCTGCCATGAGGCAAGTAATGAGTTGGTTTCTACTAGTTACTCCTCCAGGCGAATCATCATCCCAGATGGGGTCCCGATCAGGGGCCACTTCATGCCCATCGGATGGGCAGGGGAGGTCTGATGAACCTCATCAGCATAATTTCTAGCTGGCTTCCAAAGTGGCCTGCGCTCCTCAGGCAGGAGGCTGTGAGACAAGGTCATCTGGACACCATGGAAATCATGTGATTGGGTCAGATACTGAAACTCTTTGGAATATGTGGTGGGGCTTGAAGTATAGGGTCCAGGCCACTTTTCTATCTGTGAAAGATCTGACAAAGAGAAAGGCACATGAACCCGGATGACAGCATCTACCCCAGCCACCTCGCAGAGAGGGCAGCGATGCGGGTTGGGCAGTGGCAGCCCCTGAGTGTGTGCCAAGAGGAGAGAAGGATGGAGGGGCCGAGGGGACTTCATCAGAAAGAGGGTTGTGCCAAGGTGGGGGCTCATCTGCTAGGCTGAAGGAGGAGGTGTCCTGGGTAGGATTTTCTGACCCTTTGGAAGCAGGCGTAGGGTAGGTGAGAGCTAAGAGGACTTGTGCGGGAGAACAAGAGCTGCAGAGAGAGGGCTTAGAACATAGAAAGGAGAAGGCCTGAATGTATGATATCTCTTTCCATTTTCCTGAACGCTCACAATAGCTGAAAAGATCCCTGATAATATTGGGATCTAGAGTGCCATTAAGCCGCCATTTAGAGTCATTATCCAAAAGATATTGAGGCCACATCTGATTGCACAAGTGCATAGTTTTTGGGGGGTTTAGGTCCAGGGTGAGAGAGAGCTCAAAACCCAGGACCCAAATAAAAGATGACCTATAGACTCGGTTGACAGTAGGGATCAGCTGTAGCTGTGAAGCTGTGGCTGGGGGTGCCCCAGACCACACAGTAACCCTGGGAGTGCCTGCCGAATGTTTCAAGAATCCTTTAGGTTAACTGGAGACAGGTGTCTTATGTGCAATGTCCAGTGGTGGGTGCAGAGAGGTCATTTAGCAGAATGGAGGACCCGGTCCCATGATGGAATTCAAACTGGGGCCTAAGGATGCTTAGTGACCCTGGAAGAGGGGAGCAGGCACACTGGGGAACCCAATCCTGGGTTTCGGTGCCAATGTAAGGAAAGTGAGGAACTAGGAGACAGGAAGAGACACAGAGGTGACAAATAAAGGCCATCTCTCCATAGATGGAGAGAGGCAAAACGGGCTTGGGTTTGGGACTTTTATGGGGCAGGCTCAGGGATTAGAGCCAGGCCAGTCCTAATGCCAGTGGTGAAGGGTGGGGTTGGTATGAGGGAGAGGTGAGCCTTTCTCAGAAAAGCCCTTGGGTGGGAAAGCAAAATTTTTCTTAAAAGGGGGGCTGTCATTTAAGGTGGCCTTCCAGATGCTAAGCAAGGGCCTTACATAATGAAAAAAAAAAAAAAAGCTTCTTCAAAACTGTTTTTGGAATTATGGAATCAGAAACTCCAGACGGAGCTGCATAAATGCTCAGAGCACCCGGGCTCTGACCTCAGAGGCCCATGAGAAGGAGTCGTGAGTGCTGTCAGGGAACCACTCTCTTTCCATGTAGTCTTATGCTCAGCTGTTCTGCTTTCTTCCCCTTTAAAGCTCAGAGCAGGACCCTGCCTTCCCTGACCACCCAAGTCAGGCTGTGGTTACCTGGGTGATGGACAGGGAATGTCAGAGGCTTGGCAATAGGGCTGGGGGCCCGTGGCAGGCTGAGAAATCACCTGGCCCTCACAGTGGAAGGCAGTGGCCACCACAGGAATAAGGTCAGTCATAAAAGAGGTGAGCACTTGGGGCCAGGAGAATGGAAGCAAACTGAAGCCCAGTGGCCATTTCAGAGGAACAAGAGGACTGTGTTGAGCACTCCAGCCGCTGGTGAGACCATACAGCCAGGCAGCACCTCAGTAAGTCCAGAGCTCAGATGTCACACAGTCCTAGAAGATGGTGGAAAGAGCAGATTGGAGGGGCACCAAAGTGCCGACGACCAGGTGAATGTGGGCAGGAAGCACTGGCATGACTTCCAACTAGCTTTAAGAAGAGTGGCTCATTTTATGTTCTGAAGGAGCCGTCGTCTGTTAACCTACTGAATGATTAGTTCACACTCATGCTCCCTGAATATGGAGTTGATTTAAAGTCTTTCCCAGCGTCACCAGATAGGAACTGGAGACCACAGCGGCCAGTCCTGGTGTCAGACAGTGGGCCTCTGAGCCAGGGCTGAGGACGAATTTACAATCCAGACAGCTGTGCAGGGCCAGTGAGCAGGCCAGCCATCAAGAGGCCGGATGTTTCTGACCCTTGCTGCCATAGCTGCCCTCCTGAGTTGAAGTGTGACATGACCACCTCTAGCAGCACTCCTACAAGCCATACAAGCCAGACTTCATAAATCCATCTGATGAGGAATATGAGAAGCAAAACAAGACTTTAGCACGGATTTTCAAGCCTCGTCAATGCTGAAGCCATAGACTGGTCACCAGAGCTTAAAATCTCATGGAGCGGGGAAAGGAGCCAGAAGCTTGAACGGACTTAAAGTTCCTGCACAATTCCTCTGTCACCTCCGCAGTGTTCCCTTGTGAGTCTTACCCAGTGGCGCATCAGCAAGGAAGGTGTAGCAGCTTTGATTTTCGGTAGCCCAGAAGAAAGCACGTTTTGAACAACAAATCCCTGTGCGGATGGTTTTGTCACCGTGGAGTAGCGCACAGGGCAGCTAAATCCAAGGGCTGAAGACCTTCTGCTGACAGCGCGGCGGTCCGACCTCCGGCCAGCGGGAGGGGGCAGGCGTCTCCCGGGGGCGCAGACTCCGCGCGGCTGAGGCTCGGGGCAGGGCCGTCCGTCTCCGCACACCGGGTGCCGGCGCCGCGGCAGCSGGCCCACGCAGAAGCCGCCAGGGCCGCCCCAGGCGGAGAGCGCGCGGCGCCGCCTGCCGGTGAGCTCGGCCGGCCCGTGCGCCCGCCCTGCCTGCCCCGGGCTCCGCGGGGCCACGCCACCGAAGCCCGGGGTGCAGAGGGGTGGGACGCCGGCGGGGGAAACCCGCGACAGCCGGGAAAGCGCGAGAAGAGCCAGAAGGGCGCCAGCCCTTCGCCACCCATCCCGCCGCCTGGCGATGCTGGGTGGCCCGCCCCGCCCTCTGTCCCGGTCCCGATCGCCAGGCTGCACCGACCCAGGTCCGGCAGCTCTCGGCGGCCCCGCCCCTCCCCAGGTCCCCGCCCCGGCCTCGCCCCGACTGCGGCCGTGCAGCTCTCGGTGGCCCCGCCCRCCGCCTGGCCCCGCCCCGTGGCCCCGCCCCCGTGCCCTGCGCGTGCGCGTTGGGGAGCGCTGGTCCAGCCCAGCGACGCTGAGCCGCGGGTCTGACGTGGCAGTCCAGCTCCGCGCGGCTCGGGCGCAGAGTGGAGACTCCAACAGGAAAGGCGCCGGCCAGCGGTCGCCGGCACGAGAAGCCGAGCTTCAGGTACTGCCCTCGGCCCAAGCTCGCGGGCGGCGGGAGGGACCCCCGCTTAGCTCGGTGGTCCTCAGGCAGGTTGGAGGCCAGGATAGGAACCGCCAGCCCGGTGGTCCTGAGGTTGGGGGACTGGGGAGGGACGCATCCTGCCGGTCCTCAGTCAGGTTGGAGGCCAGAGGAATGACCCGCTCATCCCTATGGCCCTCAGTAAGATCGGGGGCCAGGGGAAGGACCCGCTCAGCCGGTGGCCCTCCGACAGACTGGGGGCCGGGGGACCCCACTGCCCGTGGTCCCCCGGCAGGTTAGAAATGATGGCGGGGCATCATTTGGTCCTCAGGCAAGTTAGAGATGATGGGGAGAGATCTGCTCAGTCTGATGGTCCTCTGGCCGGGTGTAGACACTGGGCAGGGATAGGAGGGACCTATACTCCCTGGACTTCGGTGCAGACTGGGAGGGGCGCTCTCCGCCTGTGGTCTTCAGGCTGGTTGGAGGCCAGCAGAGGCAGGGGGCGGGCACTTCACCTGTCCCTCCGTACCTTGGACGAGGAAGCTGCATGGTGAGTCCTGTGGCCATGTCCTCCAGTGTGATCGCTGGACGTTCTCTTCCCGTATTAACTTAGTCTACTCATTCTTGGAGGAAGAACGCGTTAGAGGTGTTCTTAGTGGAAATGGCAACTGTATCTTTGAGCTTCACGAAGTCTGGATGGCAACACGACCAAGTCCCCATCTTGTTCCAGGGGGTGAGATGCACACCGCTAGGCAGGGGGCTGGGGTCTCTCCGGGTTGCAGCTGCCCAGGTTTTGACCCCAAGCCATCTGTGCCAGGTGGCTTTCTGCCACGTAGCCACTTGAAGCTGAGTCAGGTTTCTGGACTCTGTGGGTTGCGAGGAAGTTTGACGTGGCAAGGGCGGGGAGGAAGCAATTCCTCCCAGGGCCAGCTGAGGCTGGGGTTCCACGCTCTCCAGAGAACACCCCTGCCCCCTTTTCTTCCCAGCTGGGGGCTACTGGAGGGTGTATCCAGCCACTTGCTTCCTACAGCCTGGGAAGGAAGCCCAGCCTGCCACGTCTCTCTCCACTGTGTGGGAGGAGGGGAAAGAGCCGTGGTCCACAAAGCTGACCAGAGACCTGTTGCCTCTCTCTTTCTGCCAGTCCAAGAACAAAGCCATCTCATATTTTTTACTTGTTTGCTTTGATTTTACAAACTTATATTTTAACCTGAAAATGCAACCAAATCACCAACTTTGGGCTTCAGATTTTAAATTTGAATGTCATTCCTGGACATAGACAGATTCCAAGTCTTAGCAGGTATCACCAACCTTTACCTTAAAAGGCACTGAATAAGAGCAAAAGGAACAGCGTGCCCATGCTGGGTACAGAGACTAGAGAGAAACTGCAGAGCCAGGGTTGTGTTGTGCATCTCAAAAGGACTGGGGGGTGGGGGGGGTGGGGGTGGTCTTTTCTGAAAGAGCAGAGGCTGGAGGGGTTTTTCAACCATACCATGTCACACAGCTAAGTATTAACAGACATGGATTGAAAACTCACTTTTTGGGGGCAGGATTTAGAACACTTTCTGCCTTGTTATAAAATTCTTTTAGTCCTATGAACTGTCTCTTATGTGAAAACCTGGGAAAATGAAAAATTTAAAGCAAACCAATGTTGGAGTTCTGAGAGACTTGAGATAGTTCTGTTACATTTGGGAGTGTTTACGCCTACACACACATGAAATTACACATTTTTTCTTACAGATGCTATGTTCTTAGAAGTGTGATATGGTTTAAATCAGAAAGAAATTCTGTCTTCCACTGAGAAACCACTGGTAACTTTGAAAAGGTGTAGCTGCCTCTCAGCTTGGCCAAATCATGACTCACAAAATAAGGCCATGACCAACTTTATCTTCTGCTGTATTTGCTGGGCTGACTTCTCTTTGTCAGAACTACCAGGTTATAATTGCTGGTTAGAAGAGCACTATACAGATTTGAGTTAGAAAGCCTGTGGCTACAGCCGGCTGGCAGCCAGTGGTTGGCCAGTTGCACGAGATGGTACTGCCCTGTGGCTATGGAAACCAGCCCTTGAAAGAGGCTGCCAGACACCGAAGGCCTCCGCAGCTGCGGATGTTTCCAGGTGTTGTGCCTGAGAATTGGCCCACGACTGTTGAAGTGATGCTCCTGAGTTTCAGAGGACTCTGGCTGCCCTTTAGGGTGTGACATGCCACCTGGTCCTTCTGCCTAAGCTCAAACTGTCACTTATTAGCAGTGTCTGTATGTTGGATATTTAGTAACTAAAACCCTCTGTTGATAAGTGTTTTTCTGTTGCAGGGCTCTTTTCTAGAACTAGCTTGGGAATGATATTTTCACCATGAGCCGACAAGGTTATGTGGCCACACCTCCTTACTCTCAGTCCCAGCCAGGAATCGGCCTTTCTCCTCCTCATCACGGACACTATGGGGACCCTTCCCATGCCACTTCTCTACCAGGTAAGGCGTGTTATTTTGACCTGGATGTGATTATTCAGCCCTCAGGGTCAGAAGATAGATGTTCTGAGGAGGGGCTTTGAAAGAGTGGGGGGTCATGATCTGACACCCTGGTTGTGCATTACAGGGTCACGGTGCTGCCCTGTGGCTATGGAAACCAGCCCTTGAGAGAGGCTGCAGATGTTTCCAGGTGTTGTAAAATAAATAAGTAAAATAAAGGTATTGTGTCCAACTACAACTAAAAAATAAATATTAAAACAAAAGCCTGTCCCTGGGAGCTTTGTGGAAAAGCTCTCACAGCATGACCAGTGTGGCTATCTCATGGAACACAAGTTGGTTTTTAAATATGGAGTCTTTCTTGAGTGTTTTCTTATTGTTAGACTTATCCTTCTTGTTGATAATTGGCGTGAGGTTATTGTAAACATTCAACAAAAGTGAATATATTTCTTTAAGGTAGTTTGCATAATTGTATCATACAATCAATGTTAAGATTAGGAAGATTTAAATTTACATACCAAAGACTCCTCACTGGTAATAACAGCAAGAAAGCCATGGCCTTGCCTGAAAATTGTTATCAGATATTATTGGTTGCTTTGAAATCTGGTACCCAGAGGAGAATCTTGCCTTTCAGGGCAGAGGTGAGGATGGAGTGGACCGAGGGCTCTGGTGTCAGGTTACATCATCATGCACCTCCCTTCATGAGAGGGCTGCTGTGGGCACCAGCTTGAGTGGACAGGGCTGAAGCCAATATTATCTTGCTTCAGGTCTGATGGTCCAGGTTTCCTGGGCTTCCAACAGGTGGCAATAGACCCTCACTGTGTCTTCACACTGAGGAGGGACAGTTCTCAAGAGGGAGAATCTGGAGCCAGGAGGAGTGTGGTTCCCAGAGGCTCCGGGAAGCAAGACGTGCTGGGGAGGGCATTGCCCACACACAGTGACCGCCTGTGGTGGGCAGGGCTCTGTGTGAACACTCGAGATGACTCAGGCCCCGAGATGTCCAGAGACTGGAGAAGGGCCGGAGGGCTCCGCGGGGCACCGGCATCCTAGCACACGCAGGCGATGCTCTGGACCGTGTACTTCCTGGGGAAAGAGTACCTCATGAGTTAGTCCTCCTGGGCGTCAGCTGTCTTCAGAAGAGACATCCTCTGGTGCCGGCCCATCCTCTGTGACACTGGGCTCTGTGGGAAGCGCGCGCCGCCTTCTCCCACTTCTTTCTCACTGGTCCCTTCCTGCTCAGTGTGTGTGTGTGATGGTACTTGCAGATTGTTCTTTCTTGGTTATTTATCATGTGTCAAAATCTGGACCTGAGGGGCCAGGGTTGTGGCTCAGTGGATGAGCGCTCGCCTAGCATGGGCAAGGCCCTGGTTTGATCCTCAGCACCACATAAGGATAAATAAGTAAAATAAAGGTATTATCCAACTACAACTAAAAAATAAATATTAAAACAAAAACCTGGCCCTGGGAGCTTTCTGTCACTATCTTAATCCTCACGGGACAGTAGGTAGCCACTTATGAGCCCTCTTGCAGCTGAGAAATGAGGTCGGGTAGAGGAGGCTTGCCCAGGTCACAGAGTTAGCACCACCGTGGCCAGGACTTGTCCACCCTGGAGGAAGCTGACGACAGTGCTCCTCCACACCCTGGCATAGCCTGGGGTGTCTGCCCTCCCTGTCTGTCTGCAGCCGTCTTCTCCAGGAGGTGCTGCCGGCCCAGGGGCCCTCAGTGCTGGCCTCCTGTTCCGCCCTCTTCTGCAGGTGGCCCCTGCTCCCTAGGGTGGTGGACACTGCCTTGTCTGCTTGGAATCTGATGTTTGAGGGACACTGCCTGGTTCTTCCTGCTGCGCTCTGGACGGCCTGTTGAGGGGCCCCTCCTCCTCGGCACCTCTCCCTGCGTGGTCTTTACCCTGCCGGTTTCCCTGGGCTGTGGCACTCAGGTCTTTACCCTGCCGGTTTCCCTGGGCTGTGGCACTCAGGTCTTTATCCTGCCGGTTTCCCTGGGCTGTGGCGCTCAGGTCTTTATCCTGCCGGTTTCCCTGGGCTGTGGCGCTCGCCTCAGGTGCGTGTGCTGAGGCTGTGTCTGCAGCCGTCCCCTCTCCCAAGCTCCGGGCAGTACTTTCCGCTGCCCTCTGTTTATGCAGCTCGTCAAGCTCATGTCCAGAACAGTTCAGTGTTGTTTCATTGAAACCTGTTTTTTTTCCTGACATTTCATATCACATCTTTGCATCATTTATTTAGTCATTCACACCAAAAATTTGCACTATTAAAAGAACGTCTCCCTTTAAAGCCACCCACCCCCAGTCAGTTGATGTCCTGAATCTCCTTGGAGCAGTTGTGAATATTTCCCGACTGCCCCTCCTTTCACCCTCCTGCCGCTCTTTCTGTTGGGTCTGTCCCTCTGTTGGATGGCTGACGAGCTCTCTTCCACGCCGTTGCCCGTCCAGGGCTGCCTGTCTTCCTACGTCAGCTCTTGAGCAGGAGGAAGTGTGTAGCATGCTGGTCTCTTTGGGCTCTGCGTGGCTTAAAGCCTGGTGTGGTCCCCGTGGCTCGGGTTTGTACTTAAGCTCCTTACCCCTAGAACTCTACCCACCTTTTCTTCTCAGCTCTTCTGCCCCATCCCATTGTCCTTGGCTCCACAGCTATGGAGTCACTGTCAGTGGAGGGTGGGCCCTCCTGCTGCCCACTCAGCAGCCWTCTGCCAGAGCCAGCTTGTGTCCCATGCAGTCCTGGTGGGTGTGTCCTGACAGCCYCCTTCAGACTCCTTCAGGTGTCTCTGACCCTTTACCCCCAGGCTGGCTTGTAAGTCGCCCTAACCCAGCGCTGGCCTCCCCACACACCTGAGCCGTGCCGTGGGCCTGGAGCAGTGGCACCCTGTGTTTCCTGAAGCATTTGTTCAGAAATGTCAAGAACATTGGTCAAAACTTGAATATTTTAAAAAATCCGTTGTCAGTGACTTACCTCATCAGCACATGAGTGTCCCTGTGGACGCTCTTCAGAGGGGTGGTGGTGGGCTGCAGCCCCCTCCCACGGGCGAGGGTGTCTGAGGGCTGTCCTTGCTGGGTCAACCCCTGTGTGCTCGGGTTAAAGCCTCTTTCTCTATGGAGGCTGGAGCTTTCCGTAAATCACAGTGTTTTCCCATAAGTATTTGAGGTGTTCCCCGAATCCCCCACTGTATTTCTCTGTGATGAATGTCCAGACCCTCCCTCTGCAGCACCTGTCTTCTTTCTCCTGCGGTGAGCCTTTTGTTGGCTTTCTGATGGATTCAGACAGCTGAGCTGAGGTTTCATGAAGCATCTGTTCTGCTATAGATCTGGCCAGTAGCACACTTGCTGTTTTCTCATGTCACGTCTCCAGTAGTGCCTGTTAGTTCTGTGTGTGTGTTTAATTCTTGTGCTGTGTAACAAATCTAAAGATTTACTGTTAAATCACAATACTTGTGATAAAACAGTGAACCAGGCAGACCCCACTTCAGTCTTGCGGTATGATGGATCTGGAGGAACTGCACCAAGCACACTGACCTGGGAGCTGGGCAGCAGTGTGGGGCATGCGCTCGCAGTACTGTGGCTGGTGTGCCTACAGGACTGGAGGCAAAGACGCGCCTTGGCAGACAGGGGCGTTGTCGGGTGGAGGTGGCCTGCTGGCTGGGGCCGTGGCCCTGGCAAGGGCCTTTGTTGCCAGGGACGCGCTCTGGTGGAAAATGAGCCGGGTCAGGATCTAGGCATGAAGGGCCAGAAGTGCCACCGCACAGTCCAGGTCACAGTCCCATGGGCAGGTTGGTGGACAGCTCTGCACAGTCCAGGGTGGGCAGGACTGGGGCAGCTGCTGCTTGCTGGAGCTTTGCACAGCTGGCTTCTGGGGGCAGCTAACTGTGTGGTGGGCTGTGTCCTGCTTGCTGAGGGAGATTCAGCAGTGTCCTGGGCCTCTACCTGCCGGGGGACACTGGGATGTCCTTTGCCCTCCAGGATGTGCCAGACATGGCCTGAGGTCCTTCCAGGGAAAACCGTGGGTGACTGAGGAGCAGTGGCATTCTGCGGGAGGCGGGAAGTCAAGGATCAGCAGGGGCTCAGAGGGACAAGCTTTGCAGTGAGAGTCAACAGGACTGTCCCTACAGCAGGAAGCCTCTTTGCCAACTTCAGACGAACTTCTTCCCCAGATTCTCCCTAATGTGGGTTTCAGTGTGTGAGATCCGGAGCCAAATTCAAGCTCTGCTTTCTGCAATACTGTGTGGGTTATGGTTCCTGTGCTGATAGCTGAATCCCTGCAGTGGATTTGTTGATGGGCATCTGGAGGCCAGTGGGGATCAAGGAGAGGCCTACCCAGAAGAGTGTGGGTCCCAGAGCAGTACGACTCACACAGTGCCTCTCCCTGGTTACTGCCTTTCTAGCCAGAAAGACCTTGTGAGACGCCACCCGGCCCAGGAGTGTGAGGCTTGGCTGAGATTAGAGTACTTAGCAAACCCAGATCCACAGACAGGATGAATATGGAATTTGCATGGCTCCGGCTCAGGACACACTGGGGCCAGGTCGCAGGGACTGGACGCGGTGTTGAACAAACCCACCTGTAGCATTTGCCATCTTAGGAAGCCGCTGGTGTCCCAGCCAGTCTCCCGTGGGCATAGCCTGGCTGCTTTCTGCCCATGTGTGCTGCTCCCTTCCTGCCAAGATTCTCCTACTACTGGGTAAAGAATATGATCCTTTGTACCTCATCAATAATCTGGCCAGAGGAAGACTTTGGCTCTGCAGATAACAGTGCTGCTGATTCCCTTTGTCCAGGGTGGAGTACAAATGGCATCCAGAACTTTGAAATCTGACACCAACCAAACTGTCACCCTCCTCCAGCCACATCTGAGCCTCCCCACACTGGCCTGTTGCTGCTCCCGATGATACCAGAGTTTGGGGTGGTTGCCAGGCTCTCTGACACGACTCTTACCAGCGTTTGTATTAATAGACTTTCTACTGATCCACACCATGGAGCACAACACACCTATACAGTCCACACTATATCTGCTTG